GGCATGCTGCTTGTTACAATAAAAAAAAAGGAACTCTTTATCATATAAATTACTTTGGAATATTTTCTTTGATAGTTTTCGCTATATTAAATTTATTAATACTTGAATTTGTGGTGATCTAAAATTATGTTCCATTCTCTAAAGAGAATGAGATAATTTGTGATAAATAAATATGAGCATAAGACAGTGGGTTCAAGTCCCACTGCACCATGAGGGTAAGACACCAAGTTCACGTCCTGGTGCACCATGATGATAAGATGTTGGGTTAAAGTCCCATCATATTATGGCCTAACACGTCTCATATGTGTAAGACATTGGGTTCAGGTCCCATTGGCCCATATTGATGATATAATAATGGCAGTGTGAAAATGATACCTTTTAATGAAAAATCATGAAGTCCGCCCCAATACCGGATCAACTCCATTCCCAGAAGCGAATGTGATAGCGATAAATCAAAAGTCTGAAAGAAGATAAAATAATTATCCTTGCCGTATAAATATATGTGGGCATGGCAAGAAGCGAAATAATAATCATAGTGCTGGTGGTTGTTATAAACAAGAGAACAATAAGGATTCTCAGAATAATCCTTAAAAAGGCAAAGGTAATAATGTCCACCGATATGGTATGAAAAATCATTGGGCACGAATTTGACGTACGCCGGAATATTTTGTCAAACTTTATCAAGCCTCTATAAAAGGGAAACAAAAATAAAGTTAAGACTCACTTGACCTTTCAAAATAATGTTAAGGCAGGCCCTATGAATAATCATGATAAAGTTGATGCAAACCTTGCCTATAAAGATGATATTTTCGAAGGCCTTGCAAATATTACTCATTTAGAAGCTGGAGACTTCTTTGAGCATCATAACTGAAGACTTATTATTGGGAAAAATTATAAGAATAAATGTATTTCTTTTTATGAAGTTCATATTTTGAATAAAACTTTTTATGTTGTCAGTATTTAATTTCATAAATGTAGTTTCTTTTGTTCTTAAATTTTTTAATATTACTTATGATGTATTTTTCTTCTTCTTCAAGAATATGAAAACTTTCCAGTCTTCAGTTGGCCGTATGAATAATAAAGAAGAAATATGTCTTCTAGATAGTGTTACGACGCACACCATATTAAAAGATACGAGATATTTCTCTTATTTAATTATGAAAGAAGCCAATATCCGGTAGTACAAAATTAATTGAGGGCTCTGGAAGAGCGACTGTATTACTACCAGGAGGAACTATATTGGCTGTTAATGATGCATTATATTGTATTAGGTCTCAAAGAAACTTGTTGAGTTTCAAAGATATTCGCCAAAATGGCTATCATATTGAGACCACCAATGAAGGAAAGGTTTAATACCTTTATATTACTACAATAAAAGCGAAAAAGAAGTATGTGAAAAACTTTCCACATTTTCCTCCGGATTATACTACACTAATATTAGTGTAGTCGAATCACATGCCATAGTAAACAAGGAGTTTACTAATAATTTTATTATTTGGAATGACCGGTTGGGCCATCCCGGTTATAATATGATACGCAAAATAATTGAGAATTCACATGGTCGTTCATTGAAGAACCAGAAGATTCTTCAAACTAAAGAATTCTCTTGTGCTGTATGTTCTCAAGGCAAATTGATTATTAGACCATCAGTAATTAAAGTTGGAGTTGAATCTCCTGCATTTTTGGAACGTATACATGGTGATATATGTGGGCCCATACACCCTCCATGTGGACCATTCAGATATTATATGATTTTGATAGATTCATCTACAAGATGGTCACATGTGTGCTTGTTATCAACCCGCAATTTGGCCTTTGCGTGGTTACTAGCTCAATTAATAAGATTAAGAGCACATTTTTCAGATGATGCAATTAAGACACTTCGTCTTGATAATGCTGTTGAATTTACGTCCCATGCCTTTAATGATAATTGCATATCAACTGGGATAACAATTGAGCATCCAGTTGCTCATGTTCATATTCAAAATGGTCTAGCGGAATCATTAATCAAACGCCTCCAATTAATTGTTGTATCAATGCTTATGAGAACAAAACTTCCCATTTCGGCACGGGGCCATGCTAGTTTGCATGCAGCATCTCTTGTACGTATCAGACCCCAAGTTATCATAAAGTCTCCCCAATACAATTGACTTTTGGTCAGGAGCCAAATATTTTCCATCTTAGAATATTTGGATGTGCAGTATATGTTCCAATTGCTCCACCACAATGCACAAAGATGGAACCCCAAAGAAGGTTGGGGATATATGTTGGGTATGAATCTCCTTCTATTATAATACATTTGGAATCTATGACTAGAGATTTATATACGACAAGATTTACCGATTGTCATTTTGTTGAATCAGTATACCCAATATTAGGGGGAGAAAACAAGCAGCTGTAAAAGGAGATAGATTGGAATTCATTATCACTATCTCATTTAGATCCTCGAACAAATCAATGTGAACACAAGGTTCAAAAGAAAATTTATTTGCAAAATATTGCAAATCAACTACCTGATGCATCCACTAACCTACCAAGGGTGACTACGTCACATATTCCAGCTGTTAATGCTCTTATTCGAATTGATGTCCCGGTTGGACAATCTATAAATGTAAATGAGTCTAATCCACGCTTAAAACGTGGTAGACCAATTGGTTCCAAAGATAAAAATCCTCAAAAGTAAAAAGGAGCAAATGATCTAGGAGATCATAATATGGAGGCAATTGCTCAAAAAGAGCCCTGTGACATAACAAATGATAAGACCTTAGAGGAGGTCCAGGTACCTGAAAATAATAAGAATGAAGAGATCTCAATAAGTTATGTCTCTACGGCAAAAAAGTGGAACCGAAATAATATTATTGCCGATAACATTTTTGCTTATAATGTTGCTGTTGAAATAATGCAACAAGATGAGGATCTTGAACCAAGATCTATCGATGAATATAGACAGAGAAACGATTGACCAAAATGGAAAGACGCTATCCAGACAGAATTAACGTCACTTGAAAAACGTAAAGTATTCGGACTTATAGTCCGAACACCTGAAGGAACAAAGCCAGTGGGATACAATGGGTTTTTGTGCGAAAATAAAATGATAAAAATGAAGTCGTTAGGTATAAAGCACGACTTGTGGCACAAGGATTTTCGCAAAGACCTGGCATTAATTATATGGAGATATATTCTCCTGTGGTGGATGCAATCACTTTCAGGTATCTTATAAATTTAGCACTCCATGAAAAACTTGATATGCGTCTAATGGATGTTGTCACAACCTATTTGTATGGCACATTAGACAAAAAAATTTATATGAAAACTCCTGAAGGGTTTAAAGTGTCTGAAGCTAATAAAAGTTTTCCGAAAACTTGTTCAATAAAGCTTCAAAAAATCCTTATACGGATTGAAACAATCAGGGCGAATGTGGTATAATCGCCTGAGTGAGTATTTGCTGAAAGAAGGGTATAGGAATGATCCAATTTGTCCTTGTGTATTTATAAGAAGGTCTGGATCTGAATTTGTTATAATCGCTGTGTATGTTGATGATCTAAATATCATTGAAACTCCTCGGGAACTTCCAAAAGCAGTAGACTGTTTGAAGAAAGAGTTTGAAATGAAAGATCTTGGAAATACAAAATTTTGTCTTGGTCTACAAATTGAGCATATGAAAGATGAATTTTTTGTCCATCAATCAACTTGTACCGAAAAGATCCTAAAGCGTTTTTATATGGATAAAGAACATCCATTGGTACCCCGATGGTTGTGAGATCACTTGACATAAATAAAGATCCATTCCAACCTCATGAAAATGATGGAGAGCTTCTTGGTGATGAGATTCCATATCTTAGTGCAATTGGGGCACTAATGTATCTTTCAAATAATACTCGACCAGATATAAATTTTGCAGTAAGTTTATTAGCAAGATTTAGTTCCTTTCCTACAACAAGACACTGGAATAGTGTTAAGCATATTTTTAGATACCTTAGAGGGACTATTGATATGAGATTATTTTATTCTTATGAAACCTATTCACAAATGATTGGTTATGCAGATGCAGGTTATTTGTCTGACCCACTTAAAGCCCGATCTCAAACAAGCTATCTATTTACTTGTGGAGGTACATCTATTTCATGGAGTTCAACAAAACAAACTTTAGCTGCTACATCTTCCAATCATGTAGAGATAATAACTATTCATGAAGTTAGTCGAGAATATGTATGGTTGAGATCAGTGACTCAAAAGATTCAACAACTGTGTGGTCTTTCTTTAAAAACGAAGATTCCAACGATATTGTATGAAGATAATGCTGCTTGCATAGCTCAACTAAAAGGAGGATATATCAAAGGAGACTAAACAAAGCACATCTCACCAAAGTTCTTTTTCACGCATGATCTTCAACAAAATGGTGAGATAGATGTTCAACAAATCTGTTCAAGTGACAATCTAGCAGATTTATTCACTAAGGCATTATCAATATCTACATCAACATTTGAGAAGCTGAGATATAAGATTGGAATGCGTAGTCTCCGAGATATCAAATAAAGCTTTCTCAGGGGGAGTATAATACGCGCTGTACTCTTTTTTCCTTAATCAAGGTTTTTGTACCAATTGGGTTTTCCTGGTAAGGTTTTTAATGAGGCAGCACTCAATGCGTATTACAAGATATGTGTACTCTTTTTCCTTCACTAGGTTTTTTTCCACCAGGGTTTTTCTAGTAAGGGCACATTATCTTTTAGATGGACATCCAAGGGGGAGTGTTATGAATATGTTAAAGTGGATGTCCATTGAATACTCCTAGACATCCCTGTTCCATGAACCATTTGAGTTCATGTACTTAGTTAATTCATTACTTAATATTTATAATCTTTAGGTGTATTCTTGTAATAACCTTTCATGTATCTTATATCCTATAAATAGGGTGTTCTTTATCCTATGAAGTACATACAAGAAATACACTTGAATAAGATAGCTTCTACATTCTCATCCTATACATTTTGTCTCTATTATTATATTGTTCTATTTTGCTCTCATTTCTTAACAATTTGGAGTTAATAGCAAAGTTACTTTTTCGATTCAAGCATTGGGCCCTGTGATTTAAAACCTGCAAGCCCACAATATCTTCTAGCCCATTTACCTTGACCATCCCATCGATATCCTGATTGATTACGGTCCCCAAATTTCAAATTCCGCGCGAGCTTCTCAGTTGAAAAACACTTTCCCTCGGCTCGGCTCCCAACTTGCTCCTCTCCATTTTTCTTCTGCGGCGGTGATCACTGATCGGTGATCTATTTCTCTGGCAGAATCGAGTTGTAAGTTTCCGAAACGACTTCTTCTTCTGAACGGAAGTTGGTTGAATCAAGTACGTCTTTTGTTCTAATTGCTTAAATAAGATAAGTAATTCAGTATCAGCAAATTTGAATAAGAATTCACATTATTATAAGCTCTATGAGTTGATTTCTGATGATTGCATTCGTCATTCGAGTCTCGTATCTTAAAATTCCACTGATGGACCGCATTTGTTTTGAGATCTATTGACGAAGAATTATGGATGAAAATTGGTAAATCGCGCTGAATTTAATTGTCTGATTAAGCAATTTCACAAGCATCAGACAGCATAGATACTATATTAATGATGATGAGAGGCATGATATATAGAGTATAAGTGATTCACGTATTATAATCTTGACCTATATCAATTAGGAATGTACTGTTTTTTTTTTCATTTGTGTGATTCTAATTCTAATTATGCGTCATGAGTATTCTGCTGTTTAGGTGGTCAACACTGCATAACTAAAGTTTGCGACGATTTGCTCATCTTTTCATCCGTTGTTTGTTCTGACTAGTACTTCAGATTGATCCATGCTTGTTCTGATTAGAAGTGCTTGTGTTTTCTATTAAAATAGTACTGATTTGTTTGGTTTCGGGACTAGTTTAAATCTTGCATTGACCATACATAACCATATTTTGATATGTCTGTCTTGGTTAGTTTCGAGTTGTAAGTTTCCGAATCGACCTTTTCTTCTGAACCGAAGCTGGTTAAATCAAGTACGTGTCATAAGCTTTTTCTAATTGCTTAAATCAGATAAGTAATTCAGTATCAGCAAATTTGAATAAGAATCCACATCATTATAAGTTCTAGGAGTATCAATTTGCTGATTGATTGCATTCGAGCCTCGTATCTTAATAATTTCCGCATTTGTTTTGTCCATTGAAGAAGAATTATGGATAAAATTGGTAAATCATTGAATTAATTGTCTGATTAAGCTATTTCACAAGCACCAACATCATAGCTACTATATTAATGATGATGATGAGAGGCATCATATATGGCTTATAAGTGTGATTCACGTGCGTGCTATCTAGAAGCTTGACATATATCAATTACTCAACCAAGGAATGTACTGTTTTTTTCAATTTGTGTGATTCTAATTAAGCGTTATGAGTATTCTGCTGTTTATGTGGTCAACACTGCAAGCTTTAACTAAAGTTTGGGATGATTGCTCATCATTTCATTCGTTGCTTGTTCTGACTAGTACTTTCAGATTGATCCATGCTTGTTTTGATTAGAAGTGCTTGTGTTTTCTGTTAATTTAGTACTGATTTATTTGGTTTTGAGACTAGTTTAAATCTCGCATTGACCATGTATAACCAGATTTTGATATGTCCGTCTTGGTTAGTTTGATAGACACACTATACATTTTGCATAACTTTTTAAAAGTATATTTGACATTTGATAGAACATTACATGTGTATTTCAGTTACAAGTACTTATGTGGGAATTGTCGCTAATATGGTGTCACTTTCCTGTCATGTTCATTTCTTGTTTTGGCAGTCTCTTATTATCCACTTTTTGCTAGCACAGATCGACAATGGAACTAGAAGTTGCTGATGTCACAAATAAGCGCCTGAAACCTTCTGTATGTCCCCTATCTTTTAAAGCATTTTAACATCATATTTTTCCTGATAGCAGTTAACTTTGCTGTTAGGTGGAGGATAATGAAACCACACGGACTGATATTGAAATTGCAAAGGCTACCGAAGAAGAAACTGCTGCTGCCACACTGGCATCTGAACAGATGGAGCTGGAGATTGCTAATATTCTGGGAAAGATCAACCGTTTCACTAACCTGGTATGATTTAAATTCTTAATTGCACATACCTAGGCAAATAACTAGGACAGTGACATAGCATAGAAAGAAGAGACGGTTGAAACCCCAGCCTAATGAAGCAAATGATGGACTTAAATGTCGTTAATAACAGCATTTGGTATTTGAGTTTGAAACCCCAGCCTAATGAAGCAAGTGATGGACTTAAATGTCGTTAATAACAAAGTTTGGTATTTGAGTTTGGCTCATACTCTTTGATATAGCTGTGAATGTTTATATTGGGTGACACAATTTTTATTATCACCCTGAGAAGGTCTCTGAACTGCTGGAATCAGGGAAGTCCATGCTGAAGGAACTGAGTAATGAGTTTGAAGAGCGGATTATTTTGTAAGTGTGGAAGTAGAAAATTAACTAATTAGGACAAGGTTGGTTACAAATGCTGAAGCATATTTATTTGCAGAGTACACAAGGAACAAATGGAGAAGTGGCAAGAAAAGATTAAGGAACTGCGCTTGCTTGATACTTCAAATGAGGAGGCTGATGCTCTTTTGGGAAATGCTAAATATCTACTTCAGAATGTCCAGGGTGAATCCTGAGCTATCTGCACTATGCTAAAGCTTCTCAATAGGTAAGCCGTTCACGTTATGCTGGGTAATTGACATTTTTTTACATTTCTAGTGGTTTTGTCACCTAGATTGGTACTTCTGTTCTTACTAAAAGTGGTTTTGTCACCTAGATTGGTACTTCTGTTCTTACTAAAAGAACAATAACAGAGCCTTACATGATCGACAAGAGGAGAAAACGAATACATTTGAAGAATTACCATACATTTTGATGCTAACTGATGTAAAGCTGCTTAATACTTCCCCTATGACAAACTTCTATAGTTTTCTGACTGAGAAGTCTACAAAAAGTATAGCAAATTGGAAACAGTGAGCTTTTGGTGCACATATCTATTGAATTTCTGTGCTCTTCATTTTGTTATTTTGCTCTCCAATCTATAGTTCCTTTTTGCTATATCTGCTGTGAGCCTGCTCCATAAGTTGTTCATAGCAAGCTGACTGTCTTCTTAATGTTTCTCTCCATCTATTACTTTAATCACCTTATTTGATCTTATATGATCCAAGGCCAAAGCTCTCTTTTAATCGCCTTATTTGATCTTATATGATCCAAGGACCAAGCTCTCTTAGAGATTTGTAAATATCAACCTTAATTCCATTACTTTTATGGAATAGCACATATAAATTATTTTCATCATGCTCTCAGATAGAAAGCAGAGTGGGGTTCCGAAGTTAGGAGCTTCAGTATAAACTATAACGTGAATTTTTTCTATTTGAGGCCTAAAAACTAGTTACATCGGAACACAAAGAGAACAAACCATATGCAGTAGTAGAAATATATATCATTCTCTGCTTTCAGCGAGAGCCTAAAATTGTCAGTTCCAATTTTCATTCCATTTGCTTTAAAAAGTTGTCAAACATGGATAAGACTGATCCAACCATCTATCAAAATTAGAGAAAACACGAGAAGAAGAAACGGATTAAACATGGAAGCAATTGAAATAAAGAGGAAAACTCAGATAAACTCTTCTAAAAGGATAATAACCATCTAATATTCTTTACTAAAGTCATATTTACATAGAAACAAACCTAAAGCCCTCTCAAAAGGGAGAGGAATAGAGATGATAGAACCTAAGTCTATGTCGGTCTCTAGAAAATGAAAAACACCATGTTTGAGTCAATACTTCTAAGAGTCGCCTACGGAGATCGGTTGGCCGGAGATTAGTCCAAGGCGTGATCTAGAGTGTTGCCTGGTTATGACCTCCCTTGCTAGAACTGGCCAGTCAATTACGTTTCTCTCAGACTCTTCCTCCTTAATCTTCTTCACTTGGTTGTGCATAACATGATTATAGTCAGCCTCTTGGTTTTGCTCCAAGAATCCATCTTCTTTCTTTTCCATGTTGTTCTTCTTCTCCATATGAACTCACCAAAATAGGCAGCTCTCAGTCTTCCTCACATAACAATCACTGAAATGGTTGCCTATAAATATAGATTTGGTGAGTTTGGCACCCAACCGCAACTCCCAAGAGTTTCTTTCTTTCTTTCTTTATCTATTCTTTTCCTTTTGTGGTGGGGACGCGGGGTTGGGAAGTTTGTTCGTGATTCAGAGTCTTAGGAAGGGAGGGAAGTGAATCAGGAGGTTGGTGGAAATTGAAAAGTTCTTTGTCAGATTGGATAGATACAGAGTTTGAGACTTAATTAGAATGGAGACAACTGTTTAAGACCATATCCATATACATGAATTTCTGACCGAAAATCAAGTAAATCCAACCCTACGCGTTAGGTAATACCACACGTACACGTGAAATATTAGATTACATCATTCTCATCACGATGAAGGTAACGATTAGCTATTTAGCTTTCATGCCTTATGACTCTTTCCTTTCAGACAATAGAACATTAACCTCTATTCTAGGAATCAAAAGATACATGCACTAAGTTGATAACACATGTTTGAGGCTAAATGGTACATGAATATTGATAAGTTAATGGATTTAATTTTCATATAAATGAAAAATTTATACATTTTAGTGCATATTTATTTCTTTTCTTAGATTATTAACTTAATTGTTATTATACACAGGTAGCTTTAGTTAAATTTTTATGTAACTTGATAGTTTAAAATTTGTTATACTTCTCCTTTAAAAAACTTTCTGTAAATCCTATGATAATTATGCTAAGTGTTACACGTATAATATGAAAATTACTAAGCTAACTATAATACCCCGTATTGTCTTTTATTTGGTGAAAGGCACCCTAATCCTTTGGACTGGATGATGCTCAGATTTCTTTCCCTTTCTCATCTATAATTTCAAAATGCATGTACCGTTTACTTCATGTGTGAACGTGGAAAAGAACCTTAAAAGGTGAAAATAACAAAAAAGTAGTCTAGGTTTTATTTTGAATTTGTACTTGTGATGAGGTATTACGTGTATTTGGCTGGTGACATGGCTCTAGACGGATTTGAGAAGTTTATGCGGTTGGTTTTGCTGCGGCTTGTGGCCAAGCCCTTTTCAATTTGCGTGAAGCTTCCATTATTGTGACTGGTAATTATCGGCCGATAGCGTGTGAATGCACACGACAATTGACTTTTTCAATTATCTCATTTTTTTTTAAAATTTTGTTTACTTAGCCAAATTAACTGACCGCTCCGTCCCAATTAATGTGGGGCATGAGTTTTAAAAAGAAAAAACATTTGAAATTTATAGTTTAAAACAAGTCATAAATATTTATGTAGCTATAAATCATTTTATTATGGATAAAATGAGAAATTTTTAAAATTAAAAATTTTTAAATAAAAAAATGACATTCTTTTTGGATAGGCTAAAATATTTGGACAGAGGAATCAAGTAGGAAATTTTACATGCTATAATTAAATAATGCACCCTATTTATTATAAATCAGAATACTTTAAAAATATTAATATTTATAGCCATTTTTTTATATTTTATAGCAAAGTACAAATATATACAATTGATCCTTCAACGTTTCCATCAACGCTCTTTCTCTTCTCCCTCAACTCTCTCTCCTTATTCCCTCTCTCGGCAAGGCCGCCGTCCAAATCCGGCGTTAGATCCAGATCCAGGCAGTGGTGGTGACTTCCTGATTTCGGATCTAGTAGTGGGTGGTGATGGGTCTGGTTCGATAGTTGTGATTTGCGAAGATGACGTAGGATGGTGATGTATGGAGAAAGACTAATTTTCTATCTTCTAGGAGTGGACCAAAATAGAAGCCCAAAATCCTGAATTCCTTAAGCATGTGTACCACAACAGAAGCCCAAAATCCTTTTGACGGCGCAGTTTTTCTAGGCAAAATTCGCCAAAAGACAAAAACAGAACGAATAGTAAGTTTAGTTGGGCTTCTACTAGTCGTCTGTTCTAGAAACAAAACAGACCATAATTGGCGCAGATGATTTAACAATGGGCTAATTGTTGACTTAGGTCCTCTAAGAAATTGTGGGCTGAGTAATGCCAAGGTCAATATTTAATGAGAATTTTTCATAAAGCACCATCTTTTAGGTCTAATTAGTTATTTATAGATACCTTTTGCTATATTATGTGTTATAGATATCTTTTATGTGGTTATATAATGTATTTGATGTATTTAAGCTATTGTATTCATTAATACAATAGCAAAAATAGGCGTTAAAAAGGGAATTCCAGCTAAGGTTGATATGTATTTAACTGTATTCACGCGGCCTTATCGTGAATACGGTAACGTATTTGCATAAAATCTGGAAGGTTTAACTAGTTAAAAACGGAAAGGAAATCAAATCACATGATATTCTCCTAATTTAACTCAACGAACAAAAACTATTACTCATTAATCTGTATTCTGCCATTCACGATTCAAAAAAAAATAAAATAACAAAAACAAGAGCAACATCTGTTCGAAGTTCTTCCATTCACTTCTCCATTTTCTCTGTTCGCAGTTCTCAATTCAACCACGGAAAATTACGATTGATACAAATTGTATACAAAATACGGTATAGTTCCTTTATACATATGGCAAGTTTAACAGTGTTGTTGCATCATTCTGGCAAGTGGAACGATGAGGGCAATTACGTCAATTTTTCAATTGAGGGAATACTGATAAAGGAGTATGCGTCGTACAATTATTTGGTTGCTTCAATTTTTAATCAACTGGGCATAGATTTGAGCTCAAAGTCCATTAAAATTCAATACAAAGTAGAAGAAAATTGCACGCCAATGGAAATACACAATGATATGGGTTACAGGGTGTATGTAGGGTTGAAAAAAGAGAACAGAGAATTCGGGATGTATCCTTAAAATGAAGGTGTGTATGAAATACAACAAAGCTATCTTCAAGGCATCACCATCGTTGTCGTGACCCCAGTTCTTGTCAGCAAAGCATTTCATCAAATGTTTCTTCTTGACAAGATTGACACCTCCAAAGTAAGTCTCAATAAGCCGGTTAGAAACCTTTTCACTAAACCAAAATCAACATCATTACCAAAACATTTGAGGCCAGTCACAAGCGCAAACTCCCTTAATGAGAAATGTAATGAAGTACCATTGACGTGTATTGCAAATACATTGTTAGGAGTTCCTTCTAACTGGAGAGCCATGAAGCATCTGAAGAGTTGATGTTGGACTTCACAACGCTTCATTTGAAGGAAATTTCCAAAAGTATTACCCAGTTGTTTGTACTGCTCTGGAGTAAGATTCTCTTTTAGCTCGGAGAGTATGTCAGTGTTAGTATATACACTGATATGCGGTGCAAATATTGACTGTTTTTTCACAAAAAGCTTAATTCCCTGCATTTAACAAGAATAAATACATATAAATACAACTGAATACAACGCATATTTCATAGTAAATCTGACATGAATACATATGAATACAACTACATACACTGACAATACTAAATACATATAAAAACAACTACATACAACACACATGACATAAATATATCTAACATGATTACATATGAATACAACTAAATACAGACTGGAAAATTAAACATATTAAAACAACAAATAAATACATTGAAATTAGAATAAAGAACAGTGGTGGGAACCTTGAAAATCCTTAAAAATACAACTATAAAAATACATCAGAATACATATACATATCTGTATCATTATTTTCTAAAAGTACAAAAATACGTTGGATAACCTTTTTGAACATAAAGATTGAACAATGTTATACGTATAAATATAGATGAATACATGACTAATACAGATGAATACATCAGAAATTACCTTTTCTTCGACTTTATCTGAGCTTTTACTTGCTTCAACCTCCTTCCCCTTGGCAGATGAAGCTTCAAAGATATGGTTTTTCCTCTTTTCCGGAATGGGAAGTCTTGTTTCCTTCAATGATTTCTCGACTTGGGTTTCTTTGAAATTTTTATGTCGAGATTTTGTTCTCTTCTCCAATGCCATATTTTTGGCTAAACCTGCATCCAATTCCCCTTGAGTGATTTGCAAGGAGAAAGAGGGCCCATTGAAATTGAGGATTTTAGTGGGTATACCTCTAGTAATCAACTTGCGAGGTGTATTCTCAGACATTGTGAGAATACGACTTGGGTACTGTTGATTAGATAAAATTTGGTGAGTAGAGATGTTGAGAATAAGCAAAAATGGCGAAAATTAAAAAAAAAAAAATACTTACCACACTAATTATAGAAACAAATCAGTACAATGTAGATGATATTAGGGTTTACCCGAGATTAGGGAAGGAGGAAGCAGCGTTGTGGGTGAGGAGGATTCTGATTTTTTGCGCGATTACAGGGAATTGGAATGAAAAATAGATTGTATCAATTTAGAGAAAGAGGGTGAACTTGTATTGAGAAGTTGTATGAAAAACGGTATCTATGAGAGAGAAAAATCTGAGAATGGAGAGAGGGAAATAAAACATAGCGTGTATAGTGGCTTAAGTGTAGGAGATACCCAAAATTAGAAATTTTGCTATAGACCATAAAACGTATCTATAAGAGGTAATTTATTTAAATGGTATTTATTTTAAATAAATATGGGGTTAACATTTGCTATAGGAAGTAAAAATTTCATATTGTTAATTGATGGAGTGCACTTTTCTTTCTCTTAATTCACTTCGAGAAGAGAGAGAGTTATCAACCTTTTCCAGAAAGTGTGAAACACAACTAAAAAGTCAGAGAAATTCGAAGAGAGCCCTTTTCAAAAGGGAAATTCGATTAGAAAATGGTTAACACCACCGCAACTAAGAAGTCAGAAGAAATTCGAAGACAGCCCTTTCCAAAAGAAAGATTCGATGTAAAGCAGTGGTTAACATCACCATCAAATTCCACATGATAGCTTTTATTATTGATATTAACGAATCCAAAGCTGAGCATTGATTCTTTATGGATTGATACTACACCAAGGGGAGAAAAAATGACACATCATGTGCCAACTGCTAAGCTGATGAAATATCCAAAAATCTTTACCTCTTCAGTTTTCACTATTCCCTGGACGCTTATATTCTAGTACTAAGGATTAGTACACATACATGACAAACCGTGGCGGAGCTAGAGTTTAGATTACATTTTCAATCGAATTCAGTAACTTTAATCCAGATTTTATATTTGGCTTAAGAAATATGTTAAATATGTACAGATTGTTAATAACTTAATTTGTATGCTTCAAATCTTGGTTTCGCTCTTGACAAGTTGCTTGTGACTTAAAAGAGGAAGCTAAGTCCACAAAAGACACCTTTTGGCCCTTATGTTGGGGGTCTTGTCCTTTCAAGTCAGCATCGTGTTCTTGTTTATTATGCAGTCAAGTTGTCTTCTGTGTCCAACTTGCTATACGTTATTTGCGTGTTTTTAGTTATGGTCTTATCCTCACGCTTTGCATGCAATAAACCAATTTAATTTTGTGTGCCCAACGTGTACTCTTAATTTTATCTCCTTTACTACTTTCATCACTGTCTACGTACTCAAACTTATCAACAAGGTAATTTGTGACTTAAATGTCGTTTATTCGAGTAAAAGAAAACCATGGAGACCATTTTTGATCCTATGTAATGGAAAAAATTGAAGCTACTGCTTAAAATTGCACACTTGGATTTTCTACTATTCCCAAAATTGAATGGCAGTAGGCCCAAATGGTGACCCTTTACTAACTGTAACTGATTGTTATACATTATTTTGGAGTCAGCGTCTAAGGGATTATTTGTGTTTGGATAAAAAAAATAACTAAAAGAAATTAGTGAAGCCACATGAGATAAAAAAAAATTCCGCAATTAAGGGCGTGGATTAGTGGTCAATAATTTTTTTTACCATTATAGTGTCCGCATCAGATAAAATTTCATTAGTGCAAGATTTTGTATCCAAAATAAAACTTAGTATAATTGATACAACATTTGATTTCTCGTATTAAATTATGCACTACTGGTATTAAATTAACAAATTAAAACTTATATTGGAAAATAAATAATATTTTATGCGAATAAAGGTAGAATTGCTCTTAAGTTAGACAATTTTATTAAAACAAATCTACATATTTTTATCACCGTATAACATGCCCAACATTTTTGTGTCATAATCACTTGCATAAATAGTACTACTTTAATTTGGCAACCAAAAAAATCCCCTGTTAAATTCAGAAGTTTTATTGTGTGTCTCACACAACTTACATTAGTTGTGCGAGGCTCCTTTTTGTCTCACAAATTTATGGACCCCAATCTTACACTTTTGGGTCCACAAAAATCTGGGTCCACAAAACTGTGAGACAAGAAAGGAGCCTCACACAACTAGTGTCAGTTGTATGAGACACAAAATAAAATTTTCCCTGTTAAATCCTATCAGGGGGTACTTTGTTCATGTCTCTCCCTCACCCCCGACCTCTTCCCTCTAAAACGATCTCCTATATCCACTTATACTTTGAACTGATTCTAAAAAATATGTGTTTTCTCTGTACACTGTCTATCGTTTTTCCTTTGCATCTACTTTCTCATTTTCATGATGTTATTTTTTCTGTGTTTTCTATTGGAGGTACTGATATTGTGTCTTTGTATTTTCGTCTACTTGAGTCTAGGGTCTTTCGGAAACAGCCTCCCTACTTCTTCGGGGTAGGGGTAAGGTCTGCGTACACACTACCCTCCCCAGACCCCCACTAGTGAAATTTTACTGGATCGTTGTTGTTATTTATTTATTAGTTTTCTACATTTTTAGTGATCTTACATATTTATTCGGTTGATGCGGTGTACCTTCCTTCCTAGATGCAATGATCGATTTGCTAAATTCAGTGTTCTTTCTTTCACAGAATAGTACCCCCTCAGTTTCAAATTAGATAAGGTAGTTTGACTCGGCACGGAATTTAAGAGAAAAAAAGACTGTTGATATTTGTGATCTTAAAAGCTTAAGGGTAAAAGCTTGTGGGTCCATGACTTTTGTGTGGTTATAAAAGCTTCTTATTAAGGGTAAAATGGGTAAAATAAAGATTTTAAAGTTGAATTATTTTCAAATGTAGAAATGTATCATTCTTTTTGGAATGGACTAATAAGGAAAGTGTTTGATCAAAAAGTGTTGAACATTTTAATTAAACTAATTAATGAAGAACATAGAGGATAAATCCTAGCCAAACATAATTAACTTTAGATCTAAGCATATTGAGTATGAGAATCACACAAGGCCAAGCTAATATAACATTTCTTAGGATGATAAAAAATAAAACATCAAATGTAGGTGGTAAGCTTACATCTTTGATACCAAATTGTATTGTATCTGAAAGAGCGAAGAGGAAAAAGAAGGAATCTCGTTGATAACTAAGTTAAAGAGATCTATCCTTATTGATTCGATAACGATTACAACAGCTTGTAACCAAAATCTAGGCTTCTGCGTTGTTGTTTAGTCTCCTCCAGTTCTTCCATTCCTTTTCTCACCTGGGAGAGCCCCCCCNAATTAAGATTAACAAGAACGCATTTACAATTCCTGTATTTTAACCAAGCAAGGCAAGTGGGTATATGTCTATCCCAATTGCAAATCCGTTCCCCGAGGCCCGGGTTTAAGAACTTGCTCTATTTAATTCTATATGCAACCTAGAATTTCCACTTTCGAGTTCAACTCTAGATTCATAGATAATGTTTCACTGTTAGCTACTCAGCAAAACAATTAATAACAGAATTAAATAAACAACCCAAGATGATAAACCAACTTGTCAAATTAACCTCAAACAACAACATTCATGTTTTACCCATGACCCTAGAACAACGGGTTTTAGCCACTCATACTATTGTTCATCACAATTCGATTCAATTTCATCACAATTAACAAAAACAAATAGAAGAAAAGAAACTTGATGATCCAAATCCCTCCTTGCCTCTCTATGTCTTGCCTTAGCCTGTAAAAACCTTGATAAAAACTTCCTTGGGCGAGCTTGACCTTATATAGGTTAAGTGAATTTTTTCTCCAAATTTCCACTTTTGCCCCTAATGTACCATCGCCGGATTTTAGACTAGCGCTGCAGCGCATTTGACCGCGCATTTGGCCGCGCTAGTTTGCTGAGGTTCTGTCTTGGCCGCGCATTTATTAGCGCTGCAGCGCATTTGGGCGCGCTAGCCCAGTTGTGCTGTGGCCTTGATATTTTGCCTTGTCTTCAACCATACAAAACTCCGAGGGATCTTTGTTGCTCCAAAATGGTTCCAAATCACATTTCTAGCATAATATAAGCTCCTTAACCTGAGATATATACAATTCACAATTAGAGCCCATATTTCATCAATTAATCATAATATGACCTTGGAATATAATCAAGCGAAAGCATACATAATAGCTAAATCATCTAGATTTTGCCTATTATCAACACCCCACACTTAATTCATTGCTAGTCCTCGAGCAATCAAACTATACTCTCTAGAGATTCATTCACTCAACCATTTCCCCTAACGCCTTACACCTAGAACAATGTACATACATTACGCCTAGCAGTAAACAATCCTAGCCTCAAAGCCGACTCTCAAGTGCCCTGCAATATTCACAGTTCCTCAGAGTACTCTACACAGAAGTCAAGATTTGCTTTTCCGTCACGAATCATATGCCCTCACAATCACAGCAAAATTATATAGATCAATTCACACAATCGAATTTCATGATATTATCAACGAAAAATCACTCACACTCACAAAAGAAGTCACATGTATGCAAATGGTACCATAAGCTTGCCCTTAATGTAAATCTCTACTAATGTAGGCTCACTCAGTCTAAAATCAATTAGGATTTTTTCATGGTTGTAATTTGGGCTAAGGGACGGGTAGGATATATTTAGGAATAGTGGTTCACCCTCCTAAGCACTTTAACACATCACATAATCACTTTGAGCGCAATTTCTTCAATCCCTACTTCAATTTCATAACTAAAAGCACTCCCAACACTGTTCCCTCTTTCTTTAAGCACTACTTTAGTTTATACACACTAGCAAGAACAAGACAATTTATTCACCTGTTTTTTTTCACTAGTGGTGTATTATTTCACAAAACAAGTGCACCTTTCTTCCTTCTATTGGTTCCACTCAAAAGCCACCCCACTCTTAGTTCCTTCTTACTTCTGTTAGCTCATTTTTCAATTAAAGTGCTATAAGAGGTAAAAGGATCAAAACAATGTTAATTAAGAACAAAAAGGGTATAGACTTGTAATGTGGGTGCCAACTAAAAGTCTATAGGCTCAAAAGGATTGACTAGGGATAAATTTTATTTGTGATAAGCAATTAAGCTCAAAAAGGTCAAAGAAAGTCTAAGATCATTTTTCAAACCGAGCATCATCTAAGATTTCGCTTCAATTCACATACTGGGCAAGTTCTAGACACAAGTACAATGCATGGACTATACAAAAACC